GGCCTAATGGCTTTAACTTTTTGAAGTGAAATATTATTCCTGAAATTTAGTGAAAAATTTTAAACTATTTTGGCACTTTTGTCGTCCCATTATGACACAGTTCCGTGTCGCCGAAGTGGCTGACAGTTTTTTCGAAGAACTAGTATTACATATAAAATTGCAGCCTTTAATAGTTTGGAAGAATTTCTCTAATAAGAATTTTTTTCTGGAAAGACGGGGGAGGGGTAAGAGCTGCTCTCTTCATCCCAGCTTTGAATTTCTGTTATTCAGTCTACTGGTTTGGTGGTAGAAAGCTGCACTCTCAAACACTGTCAGTGGTCAACTCATGTCTTAATAAATGTATTTTTTTTGGCAGTGAGGAATTGGTATTAACGCATGCTTAAAAGCAAATTTTAAAAAGTAGAGAGAGGAGAGGGAAGTGTCTGTCGACAACTTTACCCCTTCTCGGTTTACTTCCGATTGTCTTCACCTCTTGTGGCGATGGGGGTTTTTTGAGATTGCTGTTGTTTCTGCTTGCTTTTGTGCGATTGTTCGAGCTTTTATTTACAGTCAGCGATGTTTATTGAATTACTTCCAGGTTTTCAAATGCTTTCACTGCACCTAGCGTTTGTGGGATATCGTGGATGCGCTTGATTAATTGTACCATACTGTAAAGGAACTCTGTTAAAAAGAATCTTGCTTCATCAGCCCTTTTTGTACCAGAGCAAGTCCTCATTGTGCTCTCTGCTTTTTTGTCAGAAGAATGCTCCACGAAAAGCACTCTGGCCTCCTCGTTTAGCTGAGTTATCTGACTTATTATTTGCCCCAGTTGATGTGATGTTATCCGTTTTTATCATGATTTACTAAATTTAGATACAGCCCCAGCGCTGTTTAACGAACTGTTGAAAATCAGTGTCTTATTGCATACTCCTCCTTTATTGTTGCGAATCCGCCCAATATTTTCTCTATCACAGATTGCATTCCATTCATTTAAAATCGTCGAAGAATGACAGTTAAGTCTTTTGGAAGCTTCCCCTTATTCCTGACATGTCTTTGATCA